ATTTTGCTCGCTTTCCCGCAGCTTTGCATTGCTGCCATTATTAAGCTGGTAATCTACCATCCCCCCAGATCTTCTCCATCCTCATTGACCCCTCCAGATCCTTCTCCGCATTGCCCCCCAGATCCTTCTCCACCATTGACCCCCCCAGATCATTCTCTACCATTGACCCCCCCAGATCCTTCTCTACCATTGACCCCCCCAAATCTTCCTCCACTATTGACCCTCCAAATCCTGAGATCTACATATTAACCCCCCAGATCCTTCTTACACCATTGACCACCCCCCGATGCTTCACCACCATTGACCCCTCCAGATCCTTCTCCGCAATTGCCCCCCCAGATCCTTCTCCACCATTGACCCCCCAGATCCTTCTCTACCATTGACCCCCCCAGATCCTTCTCTACCATTGACCCCCCCCAAATCTTCCTCCACTATTGACCCCCCCTCCAAATCCTTCTCCACCATTAACCCCCCCAGATCCTTCTCCACCATTGACCACCCCAGATGCTTTACCACCATTGACCTCCCCAGATCCTTCTCCACTATTGCCCCCAGATACTTCTCCACCATTGACCCCCCAGATCCTTTTCTACCATTGACCCCCCCAGATCTTCTCCACCATTGACTCCCCAGTTGTACCCCCTAGTATGTATGATGCATGCATATTCTTAGCCCCCCCCAAGTGCAGAACCTTACATTTATCACCATTAGCCCTCATTGGCCCCATAGTCCCCCCAATTACACAGAGCATTGAGGTCGGCTTGTAAGTTGGAGACATCCTGTAAGGACGTTATTCCCCGGCACAGCTTGGTGTCATCTGCAAAGACTGGAATGGGATTTATAATCTCACACCCCATATTGTTTATATATATATATTAATAAGTAAGGGTCCCAACACTGAACCCTGGGGTACCCCACTAATAACACTGAACCCTTGGGGTACCCCACTAATAACACTGAACCTTGGGGTACCCCACTAATAACACCCCTGGGGTACCCCACTAATAACACTGAACCTTGGGGAACCCCACTAATAACACTGACCCTTGGGGTACCCCACTAATAACACTGAACATTGGGGTACCCCACTAATAACACTGAACCTTGGGGAACCCCACTAATAAACACTGAACCCTGGGGTGCCCCACTAATAACACTGAACCTTGGGGAACCCCACTAATACCTCTGAACCTTGGGGAACCCCACTAATAACACTGAACCTTGGGGTACCCCACTAATAACACTGAACCTTGGGGTACCCCACTAATAACACTGAACCTTGGGGTACCCCACCAATAATACTGAACCTTGGGGTACCCCACTAATAACACTGAACCTTTGGGTTAACTGAAGGGCACTTTTACCCCTCTGATTATATCATAAGGGCATGCGCTATTAATAAATTATATAAATATATCTATCACCATATATAAAGTGACCAAAAAATAAATAAAATATCCAAAAACCATATGGTGTGTAAAATAAAATATAGTGTTCAAAAACAATATATAAATATATCTATAGTGTTCAAAATAATTCAGTGACTCATAAAACAAATAATCTTCAGTGACTTCATAACACACAAATAATCTTCAGTGACTTCATAACACTGTGACAAATCCACCACCAAAAACGATGGAATGATCTCACCAGAGCTATTTGCTGGTCAAATTATAAACCAGCAACAGCGCTTGTGCTCTGGGAGCGATGAATAATGATGTCCAATTAGTAGATGTAGTAATACTCAATTACTTTCCAAGTAATCAATAATAGGAAGCAGCCTGAGGAATACTATATCCCCCATCATAGGAAATACTCTGCAGCCAAAGGATCTCATGGGAAATGTCTCCACTCCATTTCATACCTCCATATATACATGCAGCACACTCAGGAACAAAGAAGAGAACATAATGGTGCCGTACGTTTTTACCATTTATCTGGAGGGGCTTTGGAGGGGCTCTGAAATAGATCTTCATGTATTTTCAAATTGTATTAATGAGAATTGTTGTGGTTTAAAGTTTACAGTTACGAAGGATTTTGAACGGGTTAATTTCCTGGATTTAAACTTCTATAAATATGAGGGACAGATTTATACTAAATCTTTTTTTAAAAGATATTGATAAAAACAGCTCCATTCCAGTTTCTAGTGGACATCATCCTAAATGGCTATATAATACCCCAAGGAGCCAGTTTATGAGGATTAAAAGAAACTGTAGTTTAAGGAAAGATTTTGTTGACCAAACCGATCTATTGATAGACAGGTTTATTGATAAAGGATATAAAAAACCCTTTTTGGTGGCTGAAAGGGAAGTTATTGATAGAAAAGATAGAAGTAGTTTCCTGTCTAAGAGAAAGATTAAAAATGATAGATTTGATATTGCCTTTATTACCAACTTTAATAATCAATATAAAAAGAGTGAGGGTATTTTTAAAAAATATTGGCCAATTTTGTTTAAAAGATGAGACACTGAAAAAGATTATTCCTGAAAGATCTAAATTTATTTATAAGAAAAATAGATCTCTAAGGATGAAATTGGTACATAATGTTTTAGATCCACCTAAAGAAGTAAACTTCTTCCCTGATCTTAAGGGCTTTGTTTATTGTAACAAATGTAAAGCTTGTAGAACGGTTAATAGATCTGGGAAAATAAAAAGGAAGAAATTTGTTTCAAATATAACAAAAAAGGAATATAGTATTGATACAACTTATTTCATGTAATTCCTCTCATGTAATATATGTTTTAGAATGCCGTGTCAATGTCAGTATATAGGAAGACAGGGAGACAGTTAAAAACTAGGATAAATGAACATTTGAATAATATAAAAAGAGGATTTGAGAAACACAGAGTCTGAAGACATTTCAAATGAAAACACAATAGTGATCCAAGTTTAGCGACATTTTATGGTATTGAGAGAGCAGAAAGACATTGGAGGGGTGCTGATTTGATTAAAGAAATATCCAAGAAAGAGACGTTTTGGATATATGAACTGGATTCTTTAGTACCAAAAGGTTTAAATATAGATATTGATTTGAATTGTTTTTTTGACTAATTTTTAAATATAGTGGCTAGCTATAGAAATTGGAGGATGGGAACTGGCTACACATATATTTTATATGTTTTAGAGATTATAATTTTTAGCAAGATGGTGGTTTTTTTTTTATATATTTTTTAATTTTAATTTTTATTTTATATTTATTCCTTGTATTAGTATTTACATGCAGGGGAAATAGGAATTAGGTGGTCTATTCCCTTCCTTTTGTGTGTATATTAATGACTGTTTTCTCATATATATTTGATATATATTTTTTTCTTTATGAGAAGAGTGATGCTTTAAGTTGTGTGTATGGCCCTTTAATGTTGTTATGAGCGGGGGAGAGCCATACACACGATAAAATGTATTGAATTTTTGTATGTTTGTGTGGGTGGCCCTTCAATAGCGTTTCACTGTGGAGGGTCAGACACACAAAGGTTTGGATTCAGGCATTTATTCATCCTATCTACATTCGTGTGGAGCGGACTGAATGGAGAGTTCTAATGACCTGATTAATTGAGGGCGGTGGGTGGAGTGAGACAGCGCCGCGGTGATTGGCGGGTCATTAGCATTATGTAAATGTACGGCGGTATTTGTATGAGCCATCTGACGTTTCCATTTGTACCGCCCCTTGATGACATCATGGTGACGAAAAGCGCGCTGGGCGTGGCCTACTCGATGCAGATGTCAGAACGCTCCTTGTCCATTGTTCGGTGGAGGTGATCCGTGGTGAGCGGTATTTGTACCTCACCTCTGTTGAGCATTGCAGTTTTAAGCTGGTGTCTGTCTGGACACCTTGTTTGTGAGATTTTTATGAGCTTTTTTTATTAAATAGATAAATGGTAAAAACGTACGGCACCATTATGTTCTCGTCTTTGTTTCCTGAGTGTGCTGCATGTATATATGGAGGTATGAAATGGAGTGGAGACATTTCCCATGAGATCTTTTGGCTGCAGAGTATTTCCTATGATCGGGATATAGTATTCCTCAGGCTGCTTACTATTATTGATTACTTGGAAAGTGATTGAGTATTACTACATCTACTAATTGGACATCATTATTCATCGCTCCCAGAGCACAAGCGCTGTTGCTGGTTGATAATTTGACCAGCAAATAGCTCTGGTGAGATTCATTCAATCGTTTTTGGTGGTGGATTTGTATAACACACTATATATGACACATTTAAAGTTCAACCTGTAAGTAGAAAAATTTTCCATGACAACATGATATGGATTCTCTTTTGTTACACCCATTTCTTACCCGCTGGACATTTTATATCGGATGATGTGATTGGAGCACAGACTTTTACATGGTGATAATAATGTGATAACATCCTCCAACTTTGGACCCTTAAACAGTGATAATGAGGGAGGGAGTCAATACCCCAATGATGGTGGTCTTCAGGATCAGTCCATTCTTCATCTTGGTTGTTCTCCCCCATCCTCACTCTCTGACCCCTGGTGGGGCTCAGCCCCACTGTTCATCAATGACTAAATCATGGGACTAAATAAGGAAGTGCAGTACTTCTTGTGTTGGGAAGATGGCGATGAGTGATAGAGGGGGTGGGGGACCCTCGTCCTATAAGTCCCCTCATCACTGTCCCTCCTATAAAAGACAGTTCTGGTTGTTTCCTCACTCTCTGACTAAGGTCCATGAATAAAGAAATGACCTGGTAGGAGATCAGAGGAGCCATTTTCCTAGTTCCCTTGAGGGTGGAATTGTAAGCTCCTCAGAGCCCAAGCTGCCTGATGTGGGCAGAGTCCTGGTTTGGGGGAACCAATCAGCTCCTGTCTAGTAATCCTCTTTGTCTTTGTATTTTAGTCCATGGCCGGGAGATGAGGAAAACCTCCGAGGATTGTCTCACTTTGTCTCCAGACTGGAAAGTAGAAGATGAGGACATCACCCAGTATAGTCCAGGAGAAAAACCCGGCTCCCTCCAATGTCCATCCGGCACCAACCCAGTGTAGATGGACCATCGGATTCCTCGGATCCTGAGGAACCTCAGACTGTGTGGGACCGGGCAAGCCTTCCAACAGGGAAGAGATTCTCCTGTACTGAGTGCGGGAAGGGTTTCTGTTCCTAAAGCTGTTCTTAATAGACATAAAAGATCTCACACGGGAGAGAAGCCGTATTTCTGTACAGAGTGCGGAAAATGTTTTTCAGTGAAGTCTAGTTTTCACACACATCAAAGAACTCACACGGGGGGGAGAAGCCGTATTCCTGTCCTGAGTGTGGGAAAAGTTTTTTCAGTGAAGTCCAGTTTTCACATTTACATCAAAGAACTCACACGGGGAGAAGCCATATTCCTGTCCTGAGTGTGGGAAATCTTTTTCAGAGAAGGCCAGACTTTACACACATCAAAGAACTCACACGGGGGTGAAGCCATATTCTTGTCCTGAGTGTGGGAATTCTTTTTTCAGTGAAGTGCAGTCTTTACACACATCAGAGATCTCACACGGGGAGAAGCCATATTCCTGTCCTGAGTGTGGGAAATCTTTTTCAGAGAAGGCCAGACTTTACACACATCAAAGAAACTCACACGGGGGAGAAGCCATATCATGTCCTGAGTGTGGGAAATGTTTTTCGTCAGTGAAGTGCAGTCTTTACACACATCAGAGATCTCACACGGGGAAAAAGCCATATTCCTGTCCTGAGTGTGGGAAATCTTTTTCAGAGAAGGCCAGACTTTACACACATCAAAGAACTCACACGGGGGAGAAGCCATATTCATGTCCTGAGTGTGGAAATGTTTTTCAGTGAAGTCCAGTCTTTACACACATCAAAGAACTCACACGGGGGAGAAGCCGTATTCTTGTCTGAGTGCTTTAAAATGTTTTTCACAGAAGTCCCATCTTTACACACATGAAAGATCTCACACGGGGGGGGGCGGAGAAGCCATATTTTTGTCCTGAGTGTGGGAAATGTTTTTCACAGAAGTCCCATGTTTACCCACATCAAAGATCTCACACGGGGGAGAAGAAGCCACTTTCCTGTCCTGAGTGAGGGAAATGTTCCTCACTGAAGTCCTGTCTTCCTGTACATCTGGGATTATAATGGGGAAGACAGATCAGACAGGGGTCAGTACTTATTGGGGTTGGAATGGGGAAAGATGGGGGGAGGGCTATGGCAGATGGTAAGAAGGTTCCCATGTTATAAACAACCAGTGGAATTGGTACCATTTGTATGAAAATAAAAATTACACAAAAAAACGTGTGAACAAGGTGTTGCTGAATGGCACAAGGTGTCGGTGTCGGGTTGAATGAAAGTGTTCACCAATGCCAGAAGTGTGCCCAGCACAATAGGTGAGTTGGAAGGTTTGGTGCATGAAGAGAACTAGGATTGAATTGGTGTTGCTGAATCTTGGCTTCATTCCTCACATGACTGGGCCATTCATATTCCTGGCTAGGTTCTCTTTCGGAGAGACGGGGGAAATAAGAAAGGTGGTGATGTCTGTCTCTATGTGAGAAGTGATCTCAGAGCGAGTGTGAAAGAGGACCTAGTTGATGGAGAGTGTGATGAGGCTGAAGTATTATGGGTGGAACTGCACATGGGGGGCAGTACTACAAAGGTCATCATTGGAGTTTGTTATAGGCCTCCCAGTGTTAATGAGGAGGTGGAGACTCCGCTCCTCCCACAGATGGAAAGGGCTGGGACAGTGATAATAATGGGGGATGGTAACTACCCAGAAAGTGACTGGAGTAATGGTACTGCAGGAACAGTTAAAGGGCAAAAAGAATGTATAAACCTACTACAGGACAGTTTTATGGTGCAGTTCATAGAGGCCCCAACTAGGTATAATGCTCTGCTGGATCTGGTCATCTCCAACCATGCAGAGCTTATTACGAATGTCCATATAAAAGAACATCTGGGTAGCAGTGACCATAACATGATTTCATTTATTGTTAGCTGTAAGCAGCGAGCACATACGGGGAAAAATAAAAAATGCTCAACTTTAAGAGAGTTAATTTTCCAAGGCTGAGAGCTGCTCTCCAAGACTTAGACTGGGAGGGCATATTGGCATTGATGAACACAACACAGAAATGGGAGTTCTTCAAAAAGACTGTATGTGACCACACTGCAAAATATACTCCCATGGGCAACAAGTATAAAAAGGCTAAAAATCCAAACCTATGTGGCTTACGGCCAAAGTTACAAAAGCGATAGATAATAAGAAAAAGAGCTTTTATTAAATATAAAAATGAAGGAACGCGATCATCGTTTACACATTACAAAGAATAGAACAGAATATGCAAAAAGGAAATACAGCTGCAAAAATGAAAAACAAACGATAGAAAGATATCAGGACGACCCCAAAACATTCCTCCAATATATGAATAGTAGAAAGGTCCGGTCCCAGCATGTAGGCCCTTTACAGAAACCATCTAGAGGGGGGGGGGACAAAGAGAAGGACAATGTATGAAATCCCTTCTTCAGCTCTGTGTATACAAAGGAGCATGGGGGGGCTCTTGTCCATAATGGGGGGTGGTACTGACACCCCCAGATGATCCACATTGGCTCACAATTGATATGATCCAGAAATATTTAGACAGAATAAAGGTGAATAAAGCCCCTGGACCGGATGGCATACACCCACGGGGCCTTAAAGGATTCAGCTCTGTCATCTCACAGCCATTGTTTCTCATTGTTAGGGACTCTTTAACCTCTTCAGCGCCAGCCACTGCATATGTATGTTTGCAGGGCGGCACAGCTGCACAAAACCACGTTTTAAAACGTGTTTTTGCAAAACAGGTAGGGGGCGTGCGTGAGGCACGTGCCCGCCCTACCTGTCCCGCGGGTGTCAGCAGCGGGTCTCTGCCGCCGGGTCACGGCCGGTAATGACGTTAATTTCCCCACGATTCACGGTGATCGCTGACAGAGAGCAGGGCTGCATTGTTTACACACAGCCCTGCTCTGTGTCAGTTCCCTGACAGCTCGTGACAAGCTGAAGAGGGAGAGAAGAGTTTTTTCTCTCTTGATCAGCCTGCCCTGTCCAGCACACACCCCCCCCCGCCCCCTAGTAAAACACTCCCCTCACACAGTAAACCCCTAAAATGTTAACCCCTTCCTCCCCAGTGCCATTAGTACAGTGTCAGTGGGTTTTTTTTTTCACTAATCACTGTATTGGTGTCAGGGCTCCGGGTATGACCAGAGTTATGTGGACTGACGCAGGGAAACGCAGGCTTCAGATATGTTATAACAATAAATTTATTAACACTAACAATACATAAACGCAGTGCAATACTAAAACATAACACAGTGCAAACGAACCAAACCAAACCACCCACAGATAACAATACATACAATGCAAGCGTAGTCAGGCAGGCCGGGTCAATAACAATCGGGCAGGTAGAAACAGGAGGAGCAGGCAGAGAGTAGTCAAGTCACGAGCTGGGTACAGCAACTATCGGGCAGGTAGGTACAGGGGGTCAGGCAGAGAATAGTCGGGTCACAAGCCAGGGATCAAACAGGAGAAGTCAGCAGAGGTCCGGATCAAGCAGGGTCAGCAACGAATCAGTCAGACAGGGACAGGAACAGGGATGCAGGTAACAAGATACAGGGGCCCAGGAAAAACACACACACACCAAGGCCCAGACTGCAGGTCTGGCCATCCCTTAAATACACCTGCATAATCAGCTTCAGGTGTTTGGCTGGCTGCAGGGTTGAGTCTCTGATTGCTGAGAGCACCTGCTGGCCAGCCCTGGTACTGCAGCCCACAAGGCAGGTGAGTCCCACCATTACTGGCAAGTCCATTCCTGACAATTGGTGTCACTGGGGATGTCAGTGACCCCAAGTTTAGTTCCCCCCCAGTGTCAAAATGTCCGCCGCAGTCCTGCCATAAGTTGCTGATCACCCCGCCTTAAGTCGCTGATCGCCGCCATAAGTCGCTGATTGCCACCATAAGTCACTGATCGCCGCCGTATGTTGCTGATCGCCGCCATTATTAGTATAAAAAAATTAAAAATCCCAGTATCTTTCCCGCCATTTGTAAACACTATAAAAATTTCATGTAAACCAATTAATTTACACATATCGGGATTTTTTTTTAGCAGAGACATGTCGCAGAATGCATTTTGGACAAAATTTGTAACAAAATTAATTTTTTAAATTTTTTTTTACTGGACATGTTTTATAGCAAAAAGTCCAAAATATTGTTTTTTTTTTCTAAAAATTGTCAGCCTTTTTTTTTAAAGCGCAAAAAAGTTAAAACGCACAGGCGATCAAATACCACCGAAAGAAAGCTCAATTTGGGTGAAAAAAAGGATGTAAATTTAATTTGGGTGCAGTGTTGCATGACCGCGCAATTGTCCGTTAAAGTAACGCAGCGCTGTAACACAAACCTCTTCTGTAACCACTTCCTGACCACCCTACAGCAGAAAATACTACTACAGGGCGGCATGGGTACGTGATTCGCATATATATCCCGTGTGGTTTTCACACCCCCTCCCAGATAGCATCAAATTGCCCGTCAGTACACCAGTCATCATATTTAACCCCTTGATTGCCAGGAGCATGCTCATGTACAATAAACCTCCATTGTTAGTATAGTGTCTGAACGGGTCAATATCTTTGATCAGGTCAGCACTATACCAGCGTTCACATTAGTATAGCGTCCCCAAAAACGCAGTGTTAGTGGGATCAGACCCGGCACCTGTCAACACCTGCGTTTAGCCCCTACGCTTACCCCCCCCTTCTCCCCCCAGCAAGTGCAGTGTCAGTAGGTCACTGTCACTTGATACATTGCACACCAAACCGCAGTGTTCACAGAATCAGGCCTGATCTCTGTTAGCACTTGCTGGTAAATTTTGATAACTCTCATATGCAACAGAGTGCCAGTACTAGTGCCGCGCTACCTTTTGGTGAACTGGCGAGTACCAGCGGTCTAGTACATCCTGGTCTTTCACATACCTCCTTGATTTTTGGAGCTGTTTTTCACGGAATATCTGTATGCGTTGATTGTGGATCAAAGCAGTTTATATGCACAACAATTTATTGCTGCCAACCCAAATTCAAACCTTGCCAGACCATTCGCATGGAAACTTATTACGGTTTTCAAATTTACATTTTTTTGGTCCTAACCCTCAACATGGGCATTACTAAAAGAAATGAATTGCGGTTGTATTGGTCCGCAGACCCCATTCATCATATGCCGTGTTCTCTGCTGCCATGGCCAGGCATAGATATGAGAGTATAATGTGTTTTATGCATTTCAATGACAATACACTCTGTCATCCTCGGGGTGATCCTGAATTTGACCGGCTCCACAAAATTCAGCCCCTCGCAAATCACCTTAACCTAAAATTTGCAGATGTCTATACTCCCCAGCAAAACATCTGCGCATTGATGAGTCCTTCATTCATTTTTCTGGCCGCCTTGCATTCAAACAATTTCTCCCCAGCAAGCGTGCCAGATATGGGGTCAAGATGTAGAAGACCTGTGAGAGGACAACAGGCTATACTTATAAGTTTTGGATTTACAAGGGAAAAGATAGTCACGTGGAGCCCCCCTGGATGCCCAGACTACATGGGGAGCAGTGGCAAGATAGTTTGGGACTTGGTGTCATCATTTTCCATATGGGGTACCACTTATACGTGGACAATTTTTATTCAAGCGTGCCACTATTTAGACATTTGTACAATCTTGAAACTGGCGCATGTGGCAAAGTGTGACCTAATGTGTGCCCACCATTAGAAGTGGGTGGATGCAGGGCGGTATATTCTAATGGTGGGCATACCACACACTTTTTCTGGCAGAGATTTCTTTTCTTTTTTCATTCAGTCCACAGGCTGCATACAAAAAAAAGAATATAGTATACATACCCAACAAGGACCAGCGACGTACTGGTATATCACTGGACTTTGAATGGTTATACCAGGATGAATGCCTACAGCTGCAGGCATCATCCTGGTGTTGTTTTTTTCAGCCGGCGATCGGCTTTTCTGTAAAAGCAATCCTAGTGGCTAATTAGCTGCAGGATTGCTTTTACAAGCAGCGGGATATGATGT